GAGAGAGAGAGAGAGAGAGAGAGAGGGTGGCCCGGTGGTCCAATGGTTAAATGGTTAGCGCGTTGACCTCACAGTGCAGAGGTCGTGGGTTCGATCCTGGCTCTGGCCTTCCTGTGTGGAGTTTGCATGTTCTCCCCGTGCCTGCGTGGGTTTTTCCCGGATACTCCGGTTTCCTCCCACATTCCAAAATCATGCATGGCAAGCTGATTGAACACTCTAAATTGTCCCTAGGTGTGAGTGTGAGGGTGGATGGTTGTTCGTCTATGTGTGCCCTGCGATTGGCTGGCAACCGGTTCAGGGTTACCCCAGCCTACTGCCCAAAGACAACTGGGGTAGGCTCCAGCACTCCCCGCGACCCTTGTGAGGATAAAGCGGATCAGAAAATGGATGGATGGAAGATTGATTCATGGCGGAATCGAACCCTGCATCTCTGCACTGTGAGGCCTTTGACGTGCTAGCCAGCAGCCCAGCGTGCCGCCCGATACATTTTTGTATTTATTTATTTTTTTAATGAACTCCAAAAAATTAACTAATCTAAATATAAGCAAGGAAAAAATATAAAGAAAGATTTTTTTTTTAAAGGAGATAATTCAATTTTCTTTTCATTGGACAGGAACAGTGATAACATTTTTTTCATGAAAAAAGAAGCTTCTTTAAATAATAGTTTTAGATTTTTAAATAAATGAAAATATCAAGAAAGCTATAGTGTAGGTGTTGTTCATGACGATATGTTCCTTTCATTTTTTTTTTTTTATGCAATGTTTTTTGTTGTTGTTTTTTTAAATGGATCTGACTTCTCCATATTATTTTTTTATTTACTTCAAAAATGCAGCTCACTTTTAATGTAATCCCAACCTTGATTTCTACTTCTACTTTTTTTCCTTGGGACTCCCTTGCCGATTTGCACTTGTTTGCCAAGTGTACACTTGTCAGTGTCTCTTGGCTGCCGTCCCAATCCTGCGTCTGAGCCCTCAATCGCTGCCCATCTGCACATTTATTCATGAGGTTTTATTGAGATGAGCTTTTTCAACACTGTTTATGCATCAATCACATCTTTTCTAGAGGGCTTCGGTGGTCATCGTTAGCATCATTATAGCAGCTGGAGCCAGCAGCAAGGTCTCACTGATGGCACCCAAGGAAAACACTTTTTTTTCCTCCACTCCCCACCCCAAAAAAAGGAACAGCTCTATTTCACACTCTATTTTTACGCCTGACTTTTGCTCCAATATTAGCACAATGGCCTACTTTTGAAATATTGCTGTCGTGCAAGCAAGACTCCCTTGAGCTAGCTTACAATTTTAAACTGCCTGTTTATTGACTTTCAAGGGTGGGCAGCATATGCTAAAAAGCAAAGCGTCGAGAGTCTCTGTCAGCAAAATACACGAGTGCAAGTCAAAGAAACCTACTCAAATATTCTCCTCTTTTGTAGTAATGTAACATCGCTCCAGCGGCCATGTTGTGTACGATTGAGTGAACTCAAAGACACGCCTCCAGATGTTGTTTCCTGAACAGCAGTTTTTTCCATTGCTTACTACTACTACGCCTGCTACAACTACTACTCGCAGTATAACTGTGACTGACTCCTACTACTCCTCTCACTTCTGCTCGAACTACTCTTAGTACCAGTTCTTTTATTATTCTGTTTACTACTACTCGGACTATGAGAACAACTACTGCGACTCTGACTGCTACTAGTAGGATTACCACGACTGTTACTTTACTACTACTCCAAGTCTTGTTACTACTATTCCTACTGCTGCAACTTCGACTACTACTCCTACTCTTACAATACTGCGACTACTACTCTTACTGCTACCCTTACTACAACTCCTGCTTTTCTAAGTGCTACCACTCTTACTACTTGTGTGATTACTAATATTGTTACTTTACTTACCTCTTCTACTACTATTACTCTTACTACTTCTACAACTACTCTTCATACTACTACTCCGACACATCCCACTCTTACTACCACTACGACTAGAACTACTGTTGGTACTTGTACAATCTCTAATATGTCGACCACTATAACTACTTCACGCCTCACTACTAACAAAAGTAATCATATCACGACCACTAATGTAAACATTCTTTCTGTGACTACACTTGCCATTTGCAGTATACAGTGATCCCTCGCTACTTCGCGGTTCACTTTCCGCGGTTTCAGTGCATCGCGGATTTTTCAAAAGTATCAGACAGAGACAAAGACAGAGAGGAAGGCCAAAGAGGAGATTCATGGATGCCATGAGGGAAGACATGCAGGTAGTTGGAGTCAGAGTAGAGGATGCAGAGAACAGGGAAAGATGGAAATTAATGCCTCGCTGTGGCAACCCCTGAAAAGGGACAAGCTGAAAGGAGAAGAAGAAGAAGATTCATAAAAAAAAAATAAAATAAAAAAAAATTAAATTAAAAAGGTAAAATGCCGCAAAAGGTCTGCGAGAGGCAGGGAAAGTCAGCAAAACAACAGCGAGTCACATAGAGCAACATATACAGTACTATATACAGTACTACATGTATATTTCATGTATGTTTACTGTATTTTGTCATTTATACACTAACCTAACATATATATATATATATCTTTCTTCTTTCTACCCACAATCTTGCTGCTGTAGACTGTAAATTTCCCGTGTGGGACAAATAAAGGACATCTTAATCTTTATATATATATATATATATATATATATATCCTTATAAATATTACATATACTCGCTCCCCATAAGTGAGGGATCACTGTATTACCACGACCACAACAATTACTCCTACAACTATTACTACTGCTGCTACTATTGCAAATACTGTACAACCGCTCTAGCCGTGTTGTGACTGTCCACTGAAAAGCATAAATGTCTACAAGTCAAAACAATGAAAAACAACAGCAGGCAATGTGAAGTACTATTTGTGTTTAGTATAAAAAGCAAAGAAATGTGGATACAAATTTGTCATTGGCTGTTAGGGCAGTTTTTAAAAAATGCAATCGTGTGCTTGTAATTGCTATGGTAACGAAGTGGACGGCACTCCTCGTTTTCCTCGTCTTCCTCCGATGAGCGGAAGGTGGCGTGAGTGAGTGCACGCGGTGGGAGGGTTGCCGTGCGGTGCGACGCTGTGCTGTGCTGTACTGCCTGACCAGCCGTGCAGCAGGTGATCATCTCCATCCTCATCCCAATCCTGCAGTTGGAGCTGTGCGTGCGATGGAGCCACTCGGGCATCGAATCAGCCTGGCAGAATAGACTCACTTTCGGAGGTCTTTTTGGGGGGGCTGTGATGCGTAAAGTTCTCGTGGACTTGCCGCGGATTTTGACGCGCACGTCTCCATGCTAAAAGTTGTTTTGCGCGCACTTCACAAGACGGGACATGAAATGGAGTGAGAAGCGGCAATTGTGCTCTTTTCAACTCTTTCGCTAGAATGGCTCGCTTCGGTGACGACTCCGCCCCGAGCACCGTTGACTCCGGGGACGGAGACGCGGAGCGCGGCGGGGATGCGCAGGACCCCGGGGCCGCTGCGGTGGCCGGAGGAGGAGCAGGAGGAGGCGCCGACGGATCGGGCGCGATCTCGGCGTCGATGAAGCAAGCCAAGGCGCAGCGGGCCCGGACCATGGCTCTGTACAACCCGGTCCCGCACCAGCAAAACTGTCTGACGGTCAACAGGTCGCTGTTCATCTTCGCCGAGGACAACATCATCCGGAAGTACGCGCGCCGAATTATCGAGTGGCCATATCCTTCCTGGTGAGTGCGAACGTGAAGGTTCAAGCACCACGGACAGCGCAACAACACAACTTCCTACTTTTGTGCTTTTCGATGATTTGCACGTCCGTCATCGATCTTCAAGCGTCTCTGCTTGTTTTTTTTTTTTCAATCATGCCTAGTTAATTGTCCTTCAGGGGTTGGTGTAGAGTCCTTGCGATTTTTTTCTTCTTTATTTTAATGAACCAAACAGACAGTTTGTCATCAGCACAAATGTCAAAAATCACAATTACTTAATTATCATTATCATATCATCCCATAGTACCCCCATAAATATTGTTTTTGTCATTTGCAAATTTTCAGGTGCGTAAAAACTATATCATGTAATAATTTAACTATTTTATTTATTGATTATCATTTTTACATACAGTGTTATGTGAACGCATGCACCCTCTTTTCAACTTCTTTTTTTTTTTTTTGCATCCACCAACTTGAATGTTAATTTTGTCCTTATTAAGGGCATAAAAGATTCAAACCTGCATGGTCAATGCAGTATGTGTGAAAACGTGATTGCACCCTAAACCCAATAACGGGTCGGTTCACTCTCAGTAGCAACAACCGAAATCAAGCGTTTTCAATTCGTGGCAATGAGTCTTTCACACCTCTTGGGAGGAATTCGGGTCCATGACTCTTCCTTGCAGAATTGCTTCCATTCTGCAACACTGGAGGGGGTAAGAACAGCAACGGCCTTTTAATGTCATGCCACTGCCCACCCAATACCCAATGAGACGACCTCGGCAAGATTTTTGGTGGGGGTGTCACACTTTCATTTCGGAGTTACAGTACATACACTCACAAAAGAAATGAAATCGCATTGTTTTCAAATTCTTTGGTGTCTAAAATAACAACACTCAATCAGTATAACAAAAAATAATTCAATTACTATACTTTAAAATACAAAAGTGGAATTGATACATCACGTCAACTATCCATACATAATACACAATGTATTGTTTGTAATATGCATATTACTATTAATTTATTAAATGTAGACACTGAAAGAGCAGATTTCATTTCAACAAATGATCTTTAAGAGCCCTACGAAGCAAAAATGAACGATACAACTGCTTATTTACTGATGTTCATGTTCAGACTGATCACTCAGAAGGAAGTTAGAAGCAGTGCTCAATAACTGGAGGCAGGAGGCCATTTTTTCCCCTCTAATTTTGTGGTGCCAGAGCACCCTTTTTATTTGCCTTTTTTTGCCTATAATCGAGGAGCCGGATCATCTTTGACCTTCATTTTGTGTTTCTAAGCCACTCAGAAGTTCACTTGTCTTTTGGATCGTTGCTCGACTGTCGAACCCAAGTGTGCTTCAGCCTCAGGTCACAAACCGATGGCCGATCATTCTCCCTCCAAGCACATTGTCCCTCCTAATGCACAAAGCATGCTCCAAATATAGAAGAGGCATTTGCTGCGGAAGAACTTTGCACCACCTGACAAACACCTCAAGGATGAGCAAACAGACCCACATCTTTGGGAAGTAAGACAGGCAGGTTGAATATTTCACTTCCTGCAGTAGGTGTCCCAATACTTTTGACCATAGGGCCCCCGCACTGAATTCAATTGCTTTAGTGTGCACAGTTTTCACTGTGTGTGCTCCACTCAACGCAGAGGACACATGGTTAGTGTGTGTGTGTGTGTGTGTGTGTGTGTGTGTGTGTGTGTAGTGTGCGCGTGTGTGTGCGTGCGTGCGTGCGTGCGTGCGTGCGTGCGCGCGTGTGTGTGTGTGTGCGTGCGTGCGTGCGTGTGTGTGTGTGTGTGTGTGGTGATCATTAGAAGCTGCAGCAGCCTGTGGGCGAGGCGCACACAGTGTGGGCACATGCAAGCACAGCTCTGGATGCCTTATAGTGCTCTGAGTGGGTGTCGGTTCAAATCCAACTCAGTAGCTCCTCTCTACTTCCTTGCACAAGATGTTTGTGTGCGTGTGTGTGTCTGTGTGTTTGTTTCTCTCCATGTAATATACTTGTAAGCACAGCTACGATTTGGATTATGATGGAGTTTGGAGACATGTTCTCTGTCCAAACGATGCGCCATATTCGGCTGTGGATCACTCCAATCACCCCCCTCTAGTTTGCAGCGTGCCAGTCGTCCTCTGGTTACCTAACCAGTGTGGGTGAGTGGGAGTGGTGGGGGGTGGGGGTCTAATGGTCAAGACTCGCTCAGGGGCCTTGGAATTGGCAGAGAGGTGTGTGGGAGGGCTTTGGCAAAAAGTCGGCGTATTCAGACCCACGTCTTTCCCCCTCCGTCCCGTCCAAGTGCAAAACATTCATATGAATTAATGCAATGTGATTTGGGCTGGTTAGCACAAAGCTTCGTCACTCTGCACTTTCCAAGCAGTGCCATTTATTCAGTGAGTGAGCATGAGCAGCTCTGATCACCCCTAATTCCCGAGTCATTCCACTGGTGCACTAAATTGTCTTACTAGTGAAGATAAAGACCATGCCAAAACTGGACGTCAAGAATATCGAATTAATGTTCGGACTGCTTACCATACGAGTCGTGTGCAGTTGCGAACTAGGTCACAGTTTTGCCTCACTAGTGTTGTCCTCCGAGTATGCCGACTGTACGACTCAAAGAAATAAGTTATTGAGTGTACGTAATAAAATTATGGAAAGAATTTCCACCTAATTAAAGCGCTTTCAATGAGTGAGATACATATTTTGTTGAGCCAAGAAACTGTAAGTATGTTGAGTAAACATAAGTACATGTTTGTCATGATCCTGTCCTGTTTGCTTTGTTTTTTCAGTCTCTTCAGAGTGGGCGTTCCCTCATGAGCCGCACCTGACATTAATCATCCTTGTTACCTAGCTGCCTTTAAAAGCCATGCCATGCCAAATGACTGTCGGATTATTAAGCCCTGCTCACGACTCCGTCTCCAAGTGCTTCTGTTTTCTCGACCAGGGGTGCCCAACCTTTTTGGACCGGAGATCAACCAACCACTCGCGATCGACCCGTTACTGAGTACATGCGCGTACACACACACTTAAACACGCATGTCATGATGAGCAGCAGCTATAACGGCCCTTAAGATGAACAAAACAGAAAAATAAAGCAGACACAAGAGTTGATGAGTTTGCGAAAAGGAAATCACTGCCTACCTCAGTGGGAGGCTTGGGACGCTTTTTTGCTGCCTGTTAACTGTCGTAGCTCACACGTACCGTTTTAAAATGCTTTTCTCGGCCCTCCAGATTGCCATTCTTTGCGAGTGCCATCGGTGAATTGTACACGAAACGAACTTTGACTGATAATAATAATAAAAGCTAAATCGCAACAGCTCTGATCGCAAGCTGCAATTGCAGTCTGCTGAGTGGTAACAACGCAGGTCACCCAGCACCATATGTTAAAGGTGACCTGCTTTATTAAAAAAAAAATATATATATATATATATATAGAATTGAATAAAACTTTGTCAAATGTGCTGTATGTGTAAGTATATATATATACATACTTTTTGTGAAAGTGAAACTGAGAGAAAAATATATTACTAACATGCACAGAGACACACAAATGTCTATTTGTTTGTTTTTTACCCTACACTCCTCGCAATCAACTTGGGACTGGTCCGCAAGCTATCGCTCGATCGTGGTCGACGTAATGGGCACCCGTGTTCTCGACGTTCTTGACAGTTTTTCCTCATCACTTTTCACTACATTAGTTCATAGTATTTTTCATGTATTTTCTTGTTGTGTATTGTCATGCATTGCAGTCTCTTGTCCTTTGTGTTGACAAGCAATTTACATTTTTCTCATTCCCTACCTTTTGCAAGTGTGTTATGTTTGTTCTTGCCCTTTCCTGGTTCTTTACCAGTGACTACTGTTGTCCCTTGTCGTTCTTGCGTTTGTTTGTAAATATTTTTTTTTCATCAAAACTTCTTATCTGTGTCCACGATTGGGGAATCTCAATTCTGTCCGGCACTTTTCCAGCCACATACGGTGAGAAGATGCAAATTTCACACAGGAAGGCCCATTTGCCAAGTTTTGCACCAGGTGTTCACAGAAACGTCATCGACTTGCATTATGTCAACTCTGACAGAATCTATTAAATGATGACTAGCTTTCATGCAAATTCTACTTGATTGAATGTGTGATGGATAGCATGTGCTGTTATTTTGAGCTGCAATCAATAACTGGCACTGTCAATGTGTGTGCGATGGTGTGAGTAAGTGTTGGTCTCCAGGTCGCCCTCCTAGCCGGTTCTCTGTGATGCGCTGACCTCCTTTTTACTGGAGGAGGAGACAGTGACATCGAGGCCTCTTCACGGTCACCTCCCACTCACTCAATATGCGTGTTAGTCTGCTCTCAGTATCTGTAGGGGTACGGGTGCGACTTGCCAAAAGTACTTCATTGCTCTTAATATTTAAACGTTTGCAGTATCAGTATTGAACAATTGCTGTATTTGTATTTACAAGATCGATACTGGACATTCAAAATATCTCTAGTGGACATTCATCATATGTGAACATTTACTGTTGCGGATAATATTACCACCGGCCAGTCAAATTATTGATACTGACCATTCATAGTAGAGATACTAAATCAAACAATATGGGACATTAACAAGACAAATACTTGACATTAACTGTTGTACTTGCAATAATGGTTTGAACATTTACAGTATTAGATAATACTGATGTGAGACCTAATATTCATGGAACAGAGTGATGCAGGACATTTGCTCTTACTATTGCATCTTAAAATATATTAGAGATTCGCAGGATTGGATAATATCGATACTGGACATTCGTAATTATACTGATATTGAACACTTGTAAAACAGATCAAAAGACATTCGTCAATTATATCCCTTTGCAATATCATGACAGAACATACACAATATCAATAGTGATGCGGAAAAGTTGCTGTTTTGGTCCAAAACTTTCTGAATGCAAATGCTTGACATGTATGGTATCGATACAGGACCTTTGCTCAAATAATTTCGTATGTTTGCTGTATTGCATACACATCGTTTGCCCAATAGTCAGAGACATTTGCCACTTAAAAGATGTACATTTCCAGTAATGTATAAAAAAAAAAAATCCCTGACAGTCTGTGACTGTATAAAAGTTCCCCCCCCCCCCCCCCCCCCCGCTAGTCAGGCCAAGGTGACTTAGCGGTACTCTGGTTCCGCTCCCTGCCTCCTTCTGTCCCTCTTTCACTCGCTGGCTCCCTTTCTCACCTGCTCTCTATGTCTCACCATGAAAAGCACTTTAAAAGACTCAAAGGTTGCCATAGCGACAGCAGCCTCCTAACTGTATCTCAAAACATGAACTATGCCTTAATTTATATGTCATTTAAACATCATTCATCCGGTTGTTTTTGCTGTTGCACAAAACTGATGCAATTGTTTTGGGTTTTTTTTAAAGAACAAAGTCAATGTTTGACTGGTAGACATTTTACTGTTCTGAGCAGTGTTGTATATGTCTACAATTTATATATGGCACATATGAGTGTTTTCCTTCACTTTGGGCTTTTACGCCGTTCGAGTACATGATCCTGGCTACCATCACCGCCAACTGTGTGGTGCTGGCTCTGGAGCAGCACTTGCCCGGAGAGGACAAGACCCCCATGGCAAAGAGACTGGTGAGCAAAAATATATCGTGTGACTTGAGAGTCAAGAATTAGCCATTTACTGCAACTTCAAGTGCAGGCTGTGTCGGTCTTTATTGTTCAGTCGTTGCTGCAGCGATAATGAAGTAAATGGATATTTCTAATACAGATACAGGATATTTATGATATCAGTAGGCTACGTAACTTGTATTTGTATTTTGGCCAAAACAGTAATTTAATTTCAATTTAACCCTTTCATGCACAAATAATGATAATCTGATAAACTGTCCACTGTCATAACCGCTGTCCCTTAAAATGTAAATTAATCAGTATTGACATTTACTGTTGAATTAAAATTTTATCCAGGTTTGTGGCCTTGAAATAATGAAGCTATGCAACGTTTCTTTTAACGGTATATATATAGAGAGAGAGAGAGAGAGAGACTTCTGTTATGTTTTCCCTATATCAGTATGCATCAGTGTCTGTAGCAATACTAAACATGTCAATTCCAGTGGTCACATGTTTAATGGGCGCAATTATTAAAATTTTGTAAATATAAACATCGATGAACGATGAGGGTGGTATGGTATTGTGCGTTTTGTGCACTCCACCAGACACTCACTTGTAATTGCAGGCTGGTTGGTGTCTTGACAAGCGTCACAGATTTCACGGCATTGTTTTGACTTCCGTGACATGTTTATGATCAGATCGATTTGCTGACCCATCTTTATGTGTGCAGGAGAAAACGGAGCCGTACTTCATTGGGATCTTCTGCTTCGAGGCGGGCATCAAGCTAGTGGCGCTGGGTTTTGTTTTCCACAAAGGTTCCTACCTGAGGAACGGATGGAATGTTATGGACTTCATCGTGGTGCTCAGTGGGTGAGTGGTTTTGGCCCATTTGCGCGGCAACTGGAATGTCTATTTTGCACAAATTGATCGTCACCAAACATTTTTTTTGGATTGGCCTGCATATGGCCAATAATCACAGCGACTGCTGCTGCTCAGAAATCAATGTTTTTTCTTCATTGTTTTTTTACTGCCTTGAATTGTCTGCCCAACTCAGGCTTGTCTCATGCACTGCAATTCTTGGAAAAAAAACCCAGACCCTTTCCAGTTCCATCCATCCATTTTCTGATCCGCTTATCCTCACAAGGGTTGCGAGGCGCGCTGGGATAGGTCCCAGCTGTCTTTGGGCAGTAGGCGAGGAATACCCTGAGCCGGTTACTAGCCAATCGCAGAACCTTTTCAGTTTAGAATAAAAATATAAATGACATTAGTAATCTAAAATCATGACACTGGATATTAATAATAATAATAATAATAATACATTACATTTATAAGCGCCTTTCAAAACACTCAAGGACACTTAATTCACTTCATGGTCGGATATTGACAGTGTTGAGAGTGGAAATTAGCATCATACAAAATCAAGGTGCCATTATGTTGGGCATTTGCAGTATTGGAACTAAACTTTCAAAGTTTGGGTCATTGCAACATTATTACTTGACAGTAACACATTGGGCATTTACAGTATCAGTAATGAACATTTGCAGTATTGCTTGTGGAAATTTCTAGTATCACACTGAACATTTACAGAATCACAACTGGACATTTATACCGTCTTCATTTTCGGTATCGGGACTTCCAGTACCACTACTAGCCTGTCCAAGTTTTGACATGAGAGATTTACAATAGCCCTATATATATCATTACCATGGTATCAGTTTTTGACTTTTTCAGAATTCAAGCTTTCAAGCATCACAGTGGATAGTTTGTAAGTTTCATTCCTGGTCCATTGTGGCATCGGAACTACCAGTACATCAAATTTCCAAATTGCTCTTAGTCATTGGCAGTATCACTATGGAAATAATTACAGTGGTGATCCGAGATATATACAGTATCAAATTGGATCATTTGCTGTATCACCACCCAATATATTAGTTGTATCCACATGTAACATTTGCATTGTTGCTACTGGACATTGAGGGTATCACATTGCACTCCCACAGTAGATGCACTGGAGAGTTACTGTATCATTTCTCGAAAGGAGCTCTACCACAATGCACATTTACAGTAAATGGCATCATTTCTGGTGTGGAAGATATTTATTGAATATTCTTCATCATTGTGACCTTACTGCATGTGTGCTCTTTTTTTTTTTAATGCATATACGGCGCCTCCACTCCAAACTGTCAACTTGATTGACTCTGTTGGAGCCCAAAAAATAAACTTTTTAAAATTAAACCTCAGCTATGTGCATATGCAATTAGTTGGGACCCAGTTTCATTCTGCGTTTACGAGGCTGTGGGTGGTGGAGTGAAAGATTAATTTCAGCAGACATATTTTATCATCTTGTGCTGGTGCGTTCAAGCGTCCCACTAACCACAACCCCCACCCCCTCCTCCATCCTACACACACACACACACACACACACACACACACGCACACACACACACACACACACACACACACACACACACCCTTTGCAACAGACCGTGTGAATGCTTCAATCATGATAGCAGCTTGACCCAAAGGATGGGTCTTGGCTTTCGTCAAGGAGATTTCCTCAATTCAGACCTACCTTATACCAATGTAAGAAATCTGTGTTTCCATGGAGCAGCAACCAGTCTTTGTGTTCCGTGTTAGGTGGGTGGTTAAGTGGATTGGCACTTGTGTCAAAAGCCTGCTTGCGGTCGCCCCAAGCGCCTCGCTTCATTTATTGAGAAGGGAGGGTATCGGGGAAGCAGCGGGCCTGCAAACAACCTGAAAAATTGGGTGAATTAATTGTCTTATGTGCTCTTATGTAAAATAAACATGGTTTTTTTTTCACGATTTTGGACATCTTAAGGGTAGGGTAGGGTAGGGTAGGGTAAGCACGTGTCGAAAATCAGACCCAATGTAAACATTTTCTCTCATTTTCAAAGGCGTGATTGTCGAATGTCTTTGTCAGATTATTGGGAGCAATTAGTCTGTGATGTTTGGTGTGTAAGGAGTGATATTTCCTCACCTGCTCAGCTTAAATAACTGTTGCGCCAACAATGGTCGATGTTCTACCTGTTCAATATTTATGATCTGAAATCCTTATGTGTATGGTAAGGTTGGTCTAGCTCATGCTTGCATGATTGTGATATGAAAAGGAATACGATAGGCAATCAGGAAGCAAAGTATCTTACTCATATTTGACACTCGGACATGGTCGCAGGGGCTCAATCAAACCCACAACGCTTGGTTTCCGAGACAGCCACTCTCACACCTGGGCCACGTCGCCCTCAAGTAGTCCAAGTACAAGAAATGGACGACTTGCAGCAGTTCCGTGAGACACTCCAGATTTTGCTATTGAATGGCAAATCAGTTTCCACTTAATGTCCTTCTTCATTCACACCAGCGGGATAATGAATGGCGAGAAAAGAAAACTAGCTTTCGCTGCTTTCCGAAAGGCCCTGTCCTCTGCGCACTGTGGAAGCCAAATTAGGAGGTTTAGTTTGTTGAAACTTGGCATTTTGGCATGGATAAAGATCATTGTAGGCCAACTACTAAGGCTAGACTGGTTTTAGTCGCAAACACTGTAATATGCTCTTCTGAGTGGAACGGCTACACCAGCAGCAACGTCGCCATGCCCTACATTTGATAGTCCAACAGCACAAGAGAAGAAGAATACAACGGCGTGAACTAGGATCCCACATCGTAAATTGTACCTGCTTAAGGTGAAGTCTCGGGGATTCGAGTTGAGAATATTTGTGTTCAAATGAAGGGGTGAGAAGGGCCAGAAATTTCATACAAGAACAGTAGAGCATTTTTGACTGAAACTTGTTTCCTCTTTGTGACTTTGTGAAAATGACTGATGCTTGCTGAAATGTCTGCTTCATACCTTTGTGTGTCAATTCACAACAAAACCGCTTCTTTGTCTTTTATGCATCGGCTGCACTCGAAGGGCGAAGTCTTTTGGGAAACAATGGAAGCTAATTTCACTTGTCAAACAACTCATTCCGAGTTGCTGATGGTGTAGCCTGTAGCGGTACGCTCGCCTGACTTGTGTGCCGGCAGCGTGCGATCGGTTCCCACTCAGTGACGGTGCGTATGTGGGTGTGAATGGTTTCTTTGTTTCTATATATGCCCTGCGACTGACTGGCGATCAATTCAGGGCGTAGCCTACCTCCTGCCCGAAGTCAGCTGGGATAGGCTCTGGATATTCATCGTGACCCTTTTCAGGATAAGTGTTTGGAAATGGATGGATGGATAACAAGTCACTCCATTGCAAAATGGAACACTGCAAGGCTAATTTGAGCCACCCACTGTTACAGAGCTTAAAATTAGCCCTCATTATATATTTGCTCTTTTTTTTTTTTTTTTTTTGGTAGTTAAAATGCTTTCAGTTTTCTGTCCAGTGTGCACTCATCTTACCGCTGCTGTGAATGAGCTGGAACTTAACTAATTTGCTAATCATTTCTGAAATTGGAATATATCACTGACCTGGGCACGTATAGTCGAAGGAGCTAGGCTAACAGCTTGTCCGGTAACTACTGTACGAAGCATGTAATTTTGTTGTGGTGAATGACTTGTGAGATGTTTTGGACGGCACAGTGGTTGACTGGTTAGCATGTCGGCCTCACGGTGCAGAGGTGCAAGGTTCGATTCCAGCTACGGCCTTCCTGTGTGAAGTTTGCATGTTCTTCCCGAGCCTGCGTGAGTTTTGTCCGGGTACTCCGATTTCCTCCCACATTCCAAAAACATGCATGGCAGGTGCATTGGGCGCTCCAAATTGTCCCTAGGTGTGATTATGAGCACGAATGGTTGTTTGTCTATGTGTGGCCTGCGATCGACTGGCAACCGGCTCAGGGTGTACCCCGCCTACTCCCCGAAGACAGCTGGGATACGCACCAGCACGCTCGCGACCCTTGTCAGGATAAGTGGATTAGAAAATGGATGGATGGATGGAGATGTGTTATACACACAATCAGTTGTGCCTCTCTTTGTGGCCGGCAACAGCGCGAGCTTCAAGACACTTCCTCATTGGCTATCGTTCCATTTCACGTCACAGTCACAGAGCCTGGCTGTGGCTCGGCTGAACACGGTGCTGCTGGCACACGTGAAAACTTGTGGACGTTTTTAGCTGGAAGGTGAATCTAGTTCAAGTCAGATGAGAGTTATCACAAAATGTGATTTATGCTGGAGTATCGGCATAAGTGGTGCTGGTTGCGTAACAACAGTGTTTTGTGGAAAGAAAGTGGTGTGGGGGGCTAGCAGGCAGGTAGCTCTTGTTGCACAGCCCCGGCCGTTGCATAAAGCAGCAGTCCGGAATAATTATTTGTTTTACTGCACAGCTTCACCTCCAGTTGTGAAGTGGAATTCACTTTTAAGACAGAGGGTTCTATTTTTATAGATAGCGTATGTGCACTTGGGCGTTAAAAACTCTTGATTTTCATGCTGGTGCAAGCCTAGTTTCATTTCATTGGGAATTTGGCAGACCACGCTGTAGCTTGCTTGGCTTTCTGGTAGATTGAAGGCATTTTTTTTACACACCCTCAGGACACCTGACAGTTTGGTGGCCGAAAGTACACTAAATTTAAGGCCAGCTGGCAGCAGGTCTAAGTTGTGGTGCAGGTGGTGTAAGTTAACACAATTTTAGTGATTTTGATCGCGGTTCAGGCAGAAATATTCTGAGCTCTGTGGACGTGGGAGGTGAATGTCATCGTATTTCACTCATAAATAAGACAACAACGTACATCGCGCCCTCCAAATCATCTTAGAAATCAATTCATTGAACGCATTGTTGTGATTATGATCTATAATATGTTTTAAAAATCACCCTCCCCCGCTGGCTTTAGCCCAGATATGGGTGGGGGAATTGGGTGGTGTCACACAGAGACGCGTAATCCATGCTGGAAGGTGGTCTCCAAGTGCCCACTTCACAGCACTGATGTAACGTTCCGGAATGATCTGGACAAGGGTGGATCCCACAAACATAGGCAAGGATAAGATTATGGTACAAAAAAGGTTTATTAACAAACGTAAGACTGACAAAGTACCGTACAAATAATGATACAGGTCAACACATCAGGATAAAACGAGAGAAACAAAGTGTTTTGCAAAAGGCACGCAAAATAGAAATGGAAATTGCTTTCCTCAAAAGGACTCGAGAATCATATCACGACAAATACCAACCGAGAATACCTTACCAAACTAAATGATTACTTACAAGAAAACAGGGAGCAATAAACAAGGAATGAGGAAAAACGGAGCAAAATCTAGAACGTCTAGAAAATTGCTCATGAACAATGGCTTGAGCAAAGCGAATTATTCTAAAGTCAGTCGTCGGCTTGGAAATGCTTTAATTGTCTGTTTATCATGATGGGTAACAGGCGCGCAGTTGGAAAGACCAGAACATCTCTGCCACCTGCTGAAGGCTAACAGAAACTGAATCATGATAACTGATCTTCAATCTCCCTTTACATCATTTGCAAGTGGAGATCTTGTTGCAATTCAATATAAAGATACTTTGCGTGTGTCATTCTCTTGCTTTGACTCCAGCAAGTTAGTTTATGTAGACTGTAAACCTCTCTGTGCTGAATTTAAAGGGAATGAGAGAAGCCCCTGCCATTGACTGGGAAGTAAGTCGGCTGTGTTCACGCCCAAAACAGCGCAAACACCCATTTCTAACTGCGTGCGTCGAAGAAAGTACCAAAACAAAGAAAACGCCACACATGCACAGTTAGACCGTGCTTCGCACTAGACTTACGGTGGCCATGACGATAGGGCCCGAAGTGCTTACAACATTTTTTTTCTGGGCTGAATGTAAATGTCATTGTAGATATTTTTGTAAAGGCGTGAAAGGAATTCATGGAACTTTTCACTATTTAGTGCAACCCGGAGATCATGTTGCTTAATTTAAACCACATTTGGTGACGGACGGCCTGGTTTCCTGCCTGCCATCTGACACATTTATCTCTCAGCACATCTGCTTCTCTGTCACACACGCACGCACGCGCGCACACACACACACACACACACACACACACACACACACACACACACACAAGAATGCGCGCATGCGCACGCACACATAGACAGTCAAGTAAGTGGCATTACAAGTAAGTCAGACTTAAAAGAAAGCGTACACATGTGTCACGGAGGCTGCATGGGAATTCAATCGAGGCCACTGGGCCAGCGCTGCCGGCGTCCATTTCCATTTGGTTTTAATGAATCGCTACAAGCCACTCTATTGGGACATGTGGCTCAATTAAAAAAAGTCTTCAGCTTAGCGATAACGAGCAGGTGGCAGTGAAGGAGGAACCTGTCGGCTGATTGAATTAGGCGGGGATGTGTCCTGCGGCGGCAAACTCATCTCCACAGGTGGACACCAACGCCTTTGGTCAGCATTAAAATGGCTCCCATGTGACGAATGGTCATTGAACTTGTGGCTAGCTCGCTAAACTTAGCTTCAAAATTGCCCTCTTGGGACTCATTTAAATCACAGACATTATCTATTTGCTCTGCAGCAAAAAAAAAAAAAGGCTTCCTCTTGTGTATCGATGCTATCTAGTAGCTTCTAGATTAAGCATTATGTTCATGTTTGGAAGGCAGATGAAAGGCAACACTTTGGATAGGGTGACACACCTTTTACTATTTGGTAAGAACGTTTCAGACACAGTACAACTGTTATGTAACTTTACTGTTGACATAACCCTGTTAAAGTTTAGTTAACATTAGCATGATTAGAAGGTGAAATGATATCTTAGCACTTGGCGCCAGATATTTCAAATAAAATGGTCCGTAATTTATCTAAAAGATACCGACAAATGAATACTGTATAAATCCCAATCCCAATTTGACACTAGTTTTGTGCATTAAACAGTGACAAAATAACATGCAGCTTTGCAGTTTTTGCTAAAATTAGTATGTTTAGGATAATGAAGTTGCTTGCTAGATTCAGCTCAAAGTTCAAACATACCATAAAAAATGCTGTAATTTTCAAAACAAAAAAAAAACACATTCAGAGAAATACACAAACTGGAAAGGAGTTGGGAATTATATGTTGCATATAAAAACATATTAAGGGAACATTTCACTCTACAACGAACATTGATGTGTTCTATACTGTTCTATACTCACTAGCTATGTCTTGATACTCCTTCAAGAGATAGCTAGTGAGTATAGTATTGCATGTTTAAAGGACGAACTTTGCTAATTTAGCGGTTTAGAATTTTTCAATGTGTTTTAATAAAAACATTCTTGTAATAGAATCTTATGAGGTATTAAAAGTATTTTGTCAACTTGGACAGAGGAAACAGTTGCAGGGTTCAGAGTAAAGGGGAGATTTATTTGAAGGTCAGCGGCTCCGGAAACATGGCAAGGGCTGGTCAGACCTGTGCCAAGAGGCTGGAGTGCACACACAAGGACAAAACACACTGGCACGTGACAAAGGGAGACAGCACTATTTAAACACAAACGAAAGGGGTAATAAGTGGAAACAATCAGGGCGGGGCTGATAATCAGACTGGCACGGGAAGAAGGGCAATTGACCTTCACAGTCGTGTGACAATTTTGCTATTTTGGTCAAAGATATTTTATGAGATCAACCAAGAGTGTGCAGGACAAAGTTCTGTATATTATTATTATTTTTTTTTTTTGATCAATGATATATAAAAATGTATCCAATTGTAAATTTCTGTATAAACTGTTACTTATCGAAATTGGCTTTATTTCACCTAAGTGTAAATGTCATGTGCGTAAAACTAAACAGTATGTACGTATATAGTAATAAAAATATAGTAGAAGTTTGTCTGAACTTTTAAATGTTTGCTCTCGCCAAACTTCTTATGTGTTTTAATTACTGAGCTAAATTTCTTACTCTTTCAGGTAACATTGTTTGATAATATTGTCTAAAAGTTGAAATGTTACATCATTTCAAATCCAATAGCATCACATAAATGACTTGATGTTCTTTAGCTTGCATTAAAGCCGCTGATGTGTCCACGCAGGAGGCCAACGCGCATACACTGAGCTGCGCTCAAATGGCAACTGCAGTGCTGTGCTTAATGTTGGCGGCCTTGGGAGTGTAGGTGGGGGTGTGTGGGAGAGGCTGCATGTAATTAATGCTGCCTTCCTGGAGCCAGTTTGCAACACTGCTTCATGTACACAAAGAAGGGCCAAGCACTCACTCATGTTGGAATATAAAAAAATATTAAATAGCTAAAATAAACACATAAATAAACACGCTAAAGACCCCCGCTAAGCTTTTTTTTTTTTTTTTAATGAAAAAATTGTGGAACACCATAATTGTGATTGTTTGACTTGTAACTGAGTTCAGGATTGTGTGAAGTCGCTAGCTAGCTAGCTTAGCAGTCGCTGAGATCACAAATAACCAGAGGTTGCAAAAGTCCTCAACAACGGTACTTCATTTCAGGGGTTGGGTCAGTTTTGAGGGGGCAGCCATACCGAGGCCCTTGACCACCTTCATTCTTACCAATGCTCCCATCCCCTTCCCAACATAAAGTGAAATTAAGTATAGACTTTATCATTAGAATAAAGAATTATTGTATGTTGTACTTAAATTGTGCTGGCATGTCTCACTCAACTCAACTAAACTTTATTCATGTCGCACTTTTAAATGGCCAATTGACTTGTCATGAAATGGGACTTAGAAATGCACCCTGTAGAACTCCATATTGAGTACTTTATTGAATTATTAATTAATTTACACACACATATTATTTAGCAGTGTGCAGAAACACTGCATCCTGACTGTGAGCTGTTTCTTATATTGTGACCCGGCTAGGTTGTAAAAGAAATTTACCAAAGCACTATATACAGCTCAGCGCATCCTTGAAGTGGCAACTCTGCCTGCTGGCTTTTGCGACCCCTACGTTTGGAGTAAAGGTTATGTCTACTGAATCCCACTCTACTGCTCCTCCCGGGTGTCGCTCGTCACTGCCTCACTCGCACACTCACTTATGCTGTCATTCTCTTTGCTCCCACTGCCCACAGGAGAGCTTCTGTGTGGGCCCGCGCTTGAGTCGCTGCCATGTGACGCCTTCTATCCTCAAACACACACACACACACACACACACACACACACACACACACACACACACACACACACACACACACCCGTACCTAAATGGTAAAAGGGGTCCATCCTAACATGCCAAGTGTTGTCCCACACAAATACAGGAACGTTGTATATGTATCTGTATAATTTTGCACACTGGCCATGAGAATGGCTGAACTATTTTAAAAGCCGATGTTGACCACCCCCCCCCAAAAAAAATAAACAATCATACTTTTTGCCTTACGTATGGCTTGTTGTGTGTAGGTGGCGGTACAGTACGTCAGTGTGTGTATGGGGGTAGGGAGAGATGTGAGTATAGCAATGCCTGCCAGGGGTATTTTATACATATGTAATGTCGGATGTACGGTATGTTCTTTGTCGAGGAAAAAATATATAAATATATGTATTTAGTCTCTCGCCTTGCCAAATGCAAATTGTGCCTCACCACCATTCATCCGCTCCACACTTGGCTTGCGTCATGTGAAAAATGCATATGAGCTTTCCCGCAAAAGCTCATATGCAACGATCCGAGCTTTCATTCATATGAGGACTTACACCTCTTTGTTTCGTCTATATTTGTCTTTGGAGTGTGTCAGGCACCACGGACAAAAAGTGTTCACCTCACCAGAGCACAGAGAATCTTTTTGTCCCTGTTGCATCTTCCATTTCTATCGCAGACCAGCAGCATGACGGGGAACAAGTGACAATGAGTTTCTCGTCCGTCCATTAGGATTTTGGCAACGGCAGGAGCGCACATGAACATCCCCGTGGACCTTCGCACTCTGAGGGCCGTGCGAGTCTTGAGACCCCTCAAGCTTGTCTCCGGCATCCCCAGTGAGTCATTTCCAACACCAGTCCTGTTTCATACGTCTCCGTAGCAATAAGGGACTGAGGCATAGACCTCCGCCAAGGCTTAAACATTTGGCATCATTAAAATCATAAAGGTAAACATACCAATTTTAAAATGTAAAATGATTCAATACAATCCTTATATATTCAAGGAGATGGAAAAATCACATTTTCATCAGGATCTTTTATAATTTTTGTCAAAATATATCTACTTACCTGTCTTACTGCATTTTTATGGAACACAAAAGATTTGCTGGATCCAGAATTTTTATAAATTTCAAATATTTGGTTCTTTTTCTTTTTTTTAATCTATTTATCATGATTCTGTTATTGCTATATTGTATTGTATATTATTATGTCGTATTATCCCACCATAGAGAGCACATTTTATTCCAATCACAAAATATTTGATAGAGACATGATTTAGTATTTAATTCTTTACAAATATTTTTATTTGTTTTGTTATTGCATATTAAAACACCATGCACAAATATATTTAAGTATGAATGCTGCATACATTTAGATGAATTTTCAAATTATTTTTGAAATGAAATTTGAATAACTTTTTCATGATTTTTATGATCTTAATTAAATCATACAGAATTTATAATTTGTTGCTCACATGATGAAACTTTTCCTACATTGTGCATATCACAGTAATTTGTTGTATTTTTACACATTTTTATACATGATGAAACTTTTCCTACATTGTGCATATCACAATCCTTTTTCTGTCATGCAATCCTTAATTATTGTAATTTCGATAGGATTTTGTATCTTAATTTGAAAATTAAATTTTTTTTCGATGTTTTAGCTTATATTTTGTTGTATTTTTTTCATTTTTATATTTCATTTTTTTGTATTTTAATTGCTATATTGTAAAGATCCAAAGTACAAATGTAAGTTGGAACAATCCTTTTATCTATATCCCAAAAATTACTGGCAAAACCAGGTCGATGGAATTTTTTTTTAAAAAATGACATGTAGGGATTTAAATTGTAAACCTACATTGTTAGGCATGTGATTATTTCCTGTGTTGGAGACATGGAGTCAGCCACAGCGCAACCTTTTTTCTGATTACTGTTTGTGCTCAATAGCCCTTGAGTTGATTTACTGTGCTCGATGAAACTATATTCCTGTTGTTAGCACACAAAAGTCATCCTGCGTTTGCCCTCAGGCCTGCAGATTGTACTCAAGTCCATCATGAAGGCCATGATCCCTCTGCTGCAGATCGGCCTGCTCCTCTTCTTCGCCATCCTCATGTTTGCCATCATCGGCCTGGAGTTCTACAGTGGGAAGCTTCACCACACCTGCCTGCCATCTGTCGACATCCTTGGTACGCTCCGGTGTGCCAATACAGACTTGCTCGTGTTGGTTCTCCTTAAATTCTTCCACTGGACCTAATGCTGTGGCCAGTGGGTTACATCATGATCGTTATGTGTCAGAAAATGAAACACCAGAGAACATTTTGGATGCTGGTGGGCGTGCACATGTTGTTTGGACACTGGCACGTGCACACACATTAGCAAAAGTGTTTTGATCCTGTCTTTACATCCCACGGTCTATTTTGCAGCTCTGATTAATTAACTGCTGGTCCATTGTTGAGCAGACAATTTACGTGCTATTTGAACATTTCAGCGATTAGATGAGCCATCAATGCATTTTGTGTGGCGCTTGTCCTCATTTGGAGCCAATTTGCTTCCTGCTTCTAGTCTACTTTTGGATAAAAATGGTCTCCCCCTCAAGCAGTAAAGAGAGGAGACGCTCATTCTTCGCCATGTTTGTCAGGCTGACTCGTTCTGACTGATGCGTTCAAGGCGGCATGTTTTTCGCAGATTGCCGCCCTGATATTTTGGGAAACAGACTGCAGAAATTTGACCTTACTGAGGCCAACAGAGAAGGAGACCGTTTTCTTTGCTATTCTTGATGTTTATAAGTGTTCGCAATTGGCAGATCAATTCAAATATCAAGCGATATTATTACAAGTCAGTATCGTATCGAATTTATACTAGCACAATGAAATCAATACCGTCGTTTCAGTTCCAATGGTTTATACACTGCTGTGGTTTCGTTGAACAGTCGACAGCCGTACTTCTTTGTCTCAGCCCCGAGCAGGCTCAATTTGGTCGCCTCACCCGATCCTCTCTTGTGTTGTGCTGGCGGCCATGTGACGGAGCAACGCAAACAAGCAAGCTGGCTCGGATCTGCCCGCCCACCAGCGCCCACAGCACAAGCGTACATGCAGAGCAGCTCGGTGGACTCGCTCACAAAAACCTGGAAGCAAAACAGTTTATTATGCACTGGGTGGCATCTTTTTTTAACTGCAGGCTTTCGTGATTGTTTGCACTTAATGTATCAAATTTTTTTTACCGCTTGTTTTTTTCCCCTCAGAAAGAGAAGTGCAATGAAGGGGGAGAAATGTTTTGTTTTTGTATTGATTCCCTGAACACGCATAATAGTTGAAAAACACTTGGCATCCTCTTGTCTTATATTTGTTGTGAGGTGATCATTTTGAACGTGTTCTTTTTCAGCAAAAATAAAGTGCAAAAAATTCAATGAAGGGAATAATTAAAAACAGAAATTGGACACAGTAGTTTCACATTGGGCACTTTCTTTATTTAGGAAAAAAAATCCGGGAATTGACAATGTGTGGGGACAAAAAATAGAATTCTACATTTCACAGTAAACTTTGTCCTCATCATGTCCTAGCTTTTAATGTGTTTAATGTGCTTTTTAATGCATTTAATGTAAATGATAAATAGGAAAATGTCACAAAAACATTCCATGTCCCTAGAGTTTGTTTCTGTGGCCCAGGATTGGACTGCCAAGGCCTTTTGTTGCCACCCAGCTCACAGGGCACCCATGACTAGATATAGTGACTAGAAATAGTCGGGCTCGTCTCCACGCACAGCGTAGGCTCTGGTACCAGTTCTCTTGAGAGGGGTTTGACACTCTTCCATTCTGGAGGTGAGAGGCGCCGAGCAGGTGTGGGCATACTTATCGCGCCCCAGCTTGGTGCCTGTACATTGGGGTTCTCCTCGGTGGATGAGAGGGTAGACTCACTCCGCCTTCGAGTGGGGAGAAGGTTCCTGAATATTGTTTGTGCCTATGCACCAAACAGCATTTCAGAGTACCTACCCTTTTTGGAGTTTTTGGAGGGTGTGCTGGAGAGCGCTCACGCTGGAGACTCCCTCGTTCTGCTGGGGGACTTCAATGCTCACATGGGCAGTGACAGTGAGACCTGGAAGGGCGTAACTGAGAGGAATGGCCTTGAATATTTTTACTGTAGCACCCTAAGTGACAATAACAACAGCAGAGGGTCTCTTCCAGGCTTTGCAAGGGTCCAACAGTGGAGTGGATACTCCGTGATATTCGACAGATGGAGGAACGAACATGAGTGGCATTAATGTACATCACATGCAACATGACAGTTGATGCTCTCCTCACGTGTGTCCGTCTGTGCATGCTCAGGACCCCGGTGAGGTCAGTGCTGTGGGAATCTAGCTTTCCAACCCGTAGTAACACTCAGGTATTATTTTTCCAGACAACGAGACGGTAGACTCATCCGAATTGGCGTTTGCATGCGGCGTACGGAAGTGTCCGGAGAGATACGACTGCAACGACACGTGGATCGGCCCGAATGATGGCATCACGCAGTTTGACAACATCCTGTTTGCCGTCCTCACCGTCTTCCAGTGCATCACCATGGAAGGATGGACGGCTGTTCTCTACAACGTAAGTGTGTACAGTGAACGGTGTCAGTGAATGTTCTTAAAGTTAATATAAGTATTAAACGTGTATTATTCATTAAAAATGGAAAATGTAACACTCCATGGTATAATTTAAAGACAATATTATCGAAATATAATTACTGTACGTATTAGCGATATGTGATCATATATTTTCTATTTGAAACAAGAGCACCGATTCATTTGTGAGGTCAAGCTGAACAACTATATAATGTCTCATATTTCTGATTAATGCTGAATAATTATTATCCTGACAAAATATTATAAATGTTTTTTAAATAGTTCTATCATACAGTAAAATCAACCTTGCATTTTACTGTTTTAACAAAATGATCTTAAAATATACCATACAAATGATTGTGCTCCATAAACTCTGCTAAAGAACAAATTATTATTGTTTGAATTATACAATGTTATGAATGTGAATTCATGTGAGAAGTCTTCGGATGTAAAATAAATATGTTATTTTTACTTGGTGCCTTACAAAGTTTACCTAGCAACAAATGTTGAAATCGACATTGCAGTGTCTCACAGCCGTACTAACATAAATCTGAGAAATTCGGTTGATCTTAAGTTGCATGCGTGGTACCACACCAAAAAGTGGCACTTCTTAGGTATTTGCTTACAAAGGAATCCCATTTTAAACATAAAATATGAGTTATCGTTATATACTTGGTATATAATGAATGCAATTTCAGACTAATGATGCCTTGGGCCCCACATGGAACTGGATGTACTTCGTACAAAGGAATCGCATTTTAAACATAAAATATGAGTTATCGTTATTTACTTGGTATACAATAATGAATGCAATTTCAGACTAACGATGCCTTGGGCCCCACATGGAACTGGATGTACTTCATCCCACTCATCATCATTGGTTCCTTCTTTGTGCTCAACCTGGTGCTGGGAGTCCTGTCCGGGTGAGTGTGACCACTTCCTTCGTGTGTTTACGTCACTCACGATTGTAGATGACCGTCGCTTTCTTTTTTTTTTTCCTTGTTATCACATCCCTCCTCAGCGAATTCGCCAAGGAGAGGGAGCGGGTGGAGAACAGGCGGGCCTTCATGAAGCTGCGGAGGCAGCAGCAGGTGGAGCGTGAACTCAACGG